CAAATGGCATTACAAAACCAAATTAACCCAATGTATTATGAAACAACTATTCAATAGCACCTTTATTAGTTTGTATCAATATCCCAATTAAAATATGATATAGTTTTACTATACATTTATACTACACATTTATGTTCATTTATACTATACAAGGTCTCTCAGTTTAAACTTTTTCTAGACTACGACAAAGCATTTCAAAACCAAAATCAATTAAATCGGCCCAGGCGCTCTAGAGTTTTAGCGAGACAAACGAACAGCAATTGGTTTTTATATGTATAGAAGGTAGATTAGTTACTATTCTAGATACCAGGGGCGTTGCTATCCCAGCCTCAGGGGCCCCAACATGTAAACAAAAATCTTACCCTTCTTTTAGTTCCCCCCAACTTATTTTGAATTAGCGGCGAAGCGCCTCTAAAAGAGGTTTAGATACGCTACGCCGCTAATTTATACTATATGTTTTATAAAGAAAATAAAATAAATAGTGAATATTAATAATGTAGTTTACTTACGTCCTGTATATTGAGTAGAGTGTGTCGGGGTAGCGTGTGTACTAGAGCAGGTAGCGCCAGTAACGCCGCCACGGCGCCACACACTCGAGAGCCACGAGAACTCTTCGCAGCACTACCCACAACACCTATTACCATACTAACCTAAGCATAAGTACCGTATTATTAAACCAAAATATGTAGAAGATTATAAACTACTAGCGTTTTATTAACAATGAGCATAAAGGTTTTCAAGCATAAAATTCGATTCCAAAATCTGCTTATAACGATATATGTATATCGAAGATTTAAAAAGGATTTTAATTAATTCTAGTCTTCGAACACCATATCCGTTTTTGTTTATTATTATCTTAACTATTTATCAAATTATATTATTTATTTATTTTAATTCAAATTTAAATAATGATTTTAATTCGTCTTTATTATTATCTTAATTATCATAATATTTTAATTGCAATTTTATGTTTTGTGATTCAAATGTGAAATGATAAATATGTGTATAATAAATTGTTCATTTTTTTATATAATGTGTGGATGTAATTACTATAATTACTTTTTAATTAATGTAAAAGATAAAATATTTCTTAATTAAAAGTATAAAGTTGCAGGCTATATCTCATTGCTCGCTATTTACTGCTTGTTTATGCTTCTTGTTGTAACTCTGTCATGTGTAACATATAAAATAAATATCACACAAAGAGATCGAGTAGGTACGCCTAACTGAAGTGGTCGAGTCCTATCAGCATACCAACCTAAGCATAAATATATCTACATATTTTAATACTACACTAATCTACATATTTTGGTTTAATAATACGGTATTTATACCGTATTATTAAACCAAAATATGTAGATTATAAACTATTAGCTTTCCGCCAGCGGCTTTGCCTGCGTGGTCCGTAGGGAATTGATTATTTGGATATCAATTCACATATGACACGGATATAATTACAATAACAAATTGAATAGTAGACAATCGTTACTGTGGTAATGTTTTAATTCCCTATACAAACTTCCACTCCCATTTTCACCCCTTTATTTGATGTTTTTCGGGATAATATAGCTTATGTTCACCGCATACGATGTAACTTCCCGTAGGTGAAAGAATTTTTAAAATCGGTCTGCTAGTTTCGGAGCTTATTCGTTGCAAACAAACAAACAAACTAACAAACAATCAAAGTTCCTCTTTTCTCTTTATAATATTAGAATAGATAAACTGTTTTAAGATTGTGTTTTATATATATATATATATACCAGTTTTCTGCCAGCGGTTTTGCCTGCAGGGTCTATATGGAAGCATTTATTGAGATAAAAAGTAAAACTATATGCTAATTCAGACTTAGAATTAGTACCTTTCATCGATTTTTTTACGAGAAAGTGTTACGAATATACATACACATACAAAAACTTTCAAATTTATAACATTAGTGGTATATATAATTATTCTATGTCCTTACTTCTGACACCTTTCCTGTGGATGGAACCGAATAAGAAGAATATGCCATAACCCACCACGGGAGTCCATTGGATTTTTGGGTGTTAACGTCTATTAATTCAACCACGACCAACGACTTAACGTGCCTTCTGAAGCACGGAAGTTCACAAGATAATAAAATTTTGGTCACCTATAATATAATCGGCAATTACGTTACTTAATCTCCGCATCGCAGACCGAACGTGCTAAGAACTGCGCCAGCGATATTTCTACACAGACACATGGCCAACATATTGGTTAGTATTAATGACTGGCAGATGCCTAATTGCTCTAAGCCCAGTGGCTTAATGGCGTTTCCGAAGCATGAAAGAGCTTCAATAATATTAGCATATCTGTCAGAATACAGTAGTTTATAAAAATATATTAAATTCCATACCATGTTTAATTGAGTTAAAGATTCCACATCACCATCCATTACTTCAGCTATATTTGAATTCAAAAATGCTTCCCATTCTTCCAATTCTATAGGTGATGGTTCTTTAACTAAAATCAAAATGAAAAATTGATAAAGTAATGCAAAACTGCATTGTTTCACAACCTCAAAAAGAGATATCTTTATTAACCTTCATGTTTTTCTTCAGGTTTAACTATACGATCATTATTAGCAACTTCTTTATCATCTGAATTTTCTTCAATGATTTCACACTTTTCAATATCCTCATCCTTTTCTTCTTTGGGCCCTTTTTCTTTATCAACTTCTACTAGACTTTGAGTTTCAATTGCTGGCTTACTAGTACGCCTTTGATTTTCACTTTTATTTTTATCCCAACTTCTGCTAAAGTGAAATGATCTTTTAATGCTTCTAGTAAGTCTATTACCGGCACTACCGAATCTCAATTTATCTCTGGAAAACTGCAATAATTTCTGTTTATATGATGGAGGCACACTTTTGCTCAAACCAGAACTTACTTCACTGCTGCATTTTGTTGAAGTTTTAGGATTTTCTAAGCTATGTGATGCGGTGTCAGCTGTTTTTGCTTTTTGTTTACAACTGTCATCTTTATCAACTTTCGATTCATCTGTTAGTTTGTCAATGTTTTGTTTTTCTTCAACAATTTTGTCCATTTTATTTACATTACTACATTCATTTTGTTTTTTGTTTATCATCATTAGTTGTGCCATATTGTTTTCTAAGTTACAAACTACAAGATTCATGTTGTTCATAACATTATACTCGTGCCTTAATAATTTAGCATTGGCAGCAGTAATTGGATGTGACTGATCTTCATCATCAGTCTTAAGACTATCTCTTACACTAAAAGCACTTGTTGCTCTGATGCTATCATCGTCAGATATGGGCACACATTCTATCGGTTGTATTCTGTGAATATTGCGCAGATCATGTTCTCTGTTTTCTGTTTTAACAGATTCACCTTTCAATTTCAATACCCTGGTGATGTTTAAATAGAATTGTTATAAATTATTTATTCTACAAGACATAATTATCAACTTGAAAATAAATTTTGAATAGTTTTTAATGTAAAAATACTTGAACATTAAGTTTCTGACAATGTGATTATCACATCACGCAACATTGACAGTTTTTTAATATATTTTTATACAAATAAATTAATAATATAATAACTCAACTTTTCAAATTAGTTCAACCATAGACAGAGTTGAATTGATAATTGTTTATCTCAGTTTTTTTGCTCATGCAACCTGTTTGAAAACAACTTATTTAAGTCAGTTAACGTTGATTTGCATTGTATTTAACGTTTGATTTGTAAACCATTTACATGTACTACTACTCCTAATCAACACTATCTAACCAATTGAACTTAGTTTAAAAAATTTTCAACCATACATCCCAAAAAAATAGATGTGATAAAAAAGTGTGTTTATTCTCTTTATTAAGAAACATAACTTATGTTTAATATAGTGAGCCAACAGATTTTTTACATGTAACAATATTTTAACTATGCTACCTTGCATTACTATTTATTTTGTCTCTCTGTAATTGTTTTGCCTCTTGCTGGCTATGTGATAAAGGTTTTGTAAATGGTGAATCACTTTGGATATCTTCTGGGAGGATCAGAATATGACCAGCGACAAATTGATGTTCTAAAATCTCAGGCCAACTCATTCTCTTCATAGGATCTTTGTGTAGCAAACCCTGTAATCGACACATATTTATATTCTTAATACAAAATGATTAAAAAATCCACTCTGAGATGGGATGAGTGCCAGGGACAAATTGGATTCATTAAGCATTTTTTGTTAATAATATTTTTCAGTATAGCATTGTGCAAAATTGATCAAATATAATAAATAATATTGAGAGTAGAATTGCTACTTCGATGACTACTTTTCCAATTATTATGAGATTTAAAAAGGCTGATTTAAAAGTCGGCACAACATTCATTTAGTTTATTTGTCGGTGCTTGTTTCTCTGTGTTTACAAATGTTCAATAAGATAGTTTTAAAAGCTGCATCTTTCAATTAATATATTTCTCAATGTAGATATTGATTTATTCATTACTTTCTGATATTTTGCTTTTAAATTAGAATAACAATGTTTTTTTTAGCTAGTAATAATATAATTAACAATTATATTTCAAATGATGTGTTTGACTACTCAATTGATTAATGCTTAACGTGCATATGAATAGCACCATTTAATTAAAGAGCTAATCGCAATTAGACAGCTATTTTAGCCAGTTACCTGCAAAAACATTTTTTTTTTTTAATTTATTATTTACAAACTAATTATAACTCTATCTCTACAAACCTACCCTTAAATCACTTAACCTCTCAGCTGTCTATATATGTTTAATGCATATTATAAAGCAAAAAGATAAAGCTTCATCTAGATCAGCTACAAATGATTAGCATCATATAGTTTTATATAAAGATAAACATTTTATCCATATTGTACAAAAACCATTACAGATGTGACAATGTAAATTGTTATAGCAAAGCAATGAACAGGTAGGATTTTTGCCTAGCCAATTAATTTCCTATTATGTAATTATGCTTACTAGTCCAGAAACCAGGAACAAAAATAGCTTAATATATAACATGTGACTATATGAGTTGGGATTATTTTATGAGTTTGTGTTTTTGTATCTGTAGTATAGCATTTTTAAATCTGTGCCTCACACAAAATTAATTCAAAAACAATAAATTAAAAATTTATTGCCTACCTGCAAGAAAGATCTAGCTTCGATACTGATGAAACTAGGCCATTGAACAGGCTTATGTCTGATCATACGAACAAGTTGCCAAATAGACATTGTACAAAATGGAGGCTGACCAGCCATCAGCTCATATACGATACAGCCTAATGACCATAAGTCTGCCTGAAAACATATAGTCATAAATATTATCAAACTAGACATTTAAGATGCATTACAGGACTAAAATGTAATATTACTGTTTCTTTGCATTAAAATAAATGTTCTGAACCTGGTGATCATAAGGTTTCTCTTCAATAAGTTCTGGAGCCATGTACAGTGGGGTCCCTTTGATAGAAGTAAGTATGTGAGTTGAATTTGTCATTATTCGAGCTAGCCCAAAGTCACATAGTTTGGCACGACCTGTGCTATCTAATAAAACATTCTGAGGTTTTAAGTCCCTGCGCAAATAATAAAATGTGTTATAAAAGCATTGTTCAAAAATAACTTCAATTTACAAATGTAATATAATATTATTGACAAACTCCAAAACTACTGAACCAATTTTTTAAAATTTTAACTATTATTTTGTTGAGTTTTTATCTCAAATAATAACAAAATAATGGGTATAAAATCAATTTAACCTATCATAAATACTGCACCACAACAATGTGTGACAGGGTCAGCTAGTTACTGTATAAGTTTCTACTATTATCTCAATTTTATTATGTTTTGTGATAGCTCATTTATTAACCAAAAAATAAAAGAAATTACCTATGCAAAACTCTATGAGAATGTAAATAATATAACGCAGAAACTAAATCCCATGTTATTTTCTTTACTTGGTCTTCATTAAGACATCCATTTTTAGCTAGAATGCTGTGTAGTTCTTTTTCAGCATATTCAGTAACCACAACTAGTTCAGATTCAGTGTCAAAACTGTCGATCATGCGAATTATGTTTGGATGTTTAAGTTGCCTTTGAATATCACATTCTTGTCTCAAATTCTTCAAGTCTTTTGAAGAGCGTCCTTTCTGTAAAAAGTTAGTGCATAAGCAATGCCATTAGGCACACTATAAGCTGTTTAAATAAATGTACACTAACTTACCTTACGAATAACTTTTAAAGCGACTATATCATTGGTTTCTTTGTGTTTGGCTTTGAAAACACGGCCAAAAGATCCTTCACCAATAAATGATATAACAGCATAGCTCTCCATTTTGTACTAATAAGTCACCTATTCCGATCAAATACCTGAGCAAGGCATTTCTAAAATTAAGCAAACATCTATTGTAACAGACAAAATATAATAATTTTGGATAGTCTTGTATGAATTGTATGAATTCGATTCGGTTTGTTGACATAACAATGCCAAAACTGAGGCGCTGTCATAAATATGACATCTATCAATGTCAATCTCATCGCTATTTTAGGCAAAGGGATGTAGCTCCTACAGTTTAATCTAGTAGGAAAAAAACTACAAAGTTGATATTACATAGTTCAATATGAACTTATTGAAGATTATTTATTATTTTTTTATTACCGTCTCATAAACTATAGTCACCTCTGAGCTCAATAATAGAAGCTCGCACTAGATAAAACAAGTAGTCAAGTAACAAAAATTCCAGATAATATCTTGAGACCTTGCTATTCGCTGGGTGCGAAGTAGGAGGTGGGAGAACACGAATCGATCGCAGCGCGCACCGTGGCTAAAACGGAAAACTCTGTCGGACGAAATGCTGACCGTTACGGAACCGGAATGCATTTTTTTTTTAGAAATGATTTTGTAATTTTTTTCACTTTTTGGATAGCATATTAAATGAGCTTTTTAAAAATACCAATTGTTTTATAATTGAACAAGCAGTTAAGCCAAAAAATTAATTTGTATAGGGCACTCAGGGCACAAGAAGTTCCAATTAGTAACACTTTAAATATTTTGTTTTTAAATAAAAGCCAGGGTATTCTGTATTATTTTATTTAATTTTCTTATTATTTAAATCGGTTACATTCATTATATTAGCAAACAAAAACAATTTTCAGCATATTTTCACAAATTATTAATGAAAATACTTCCGATTAGTAACATTTGTTTCATAATCTCCTCAAATAATATTATGTTTTGAAAAAGACACAAGGTATAACACTTAATCTCTTAGATAGTCGGGTAAAACATATTAAAATAAACAATATTTAGTTGTAACATTAATCATCTTCTAATAAAATTATCAAACAAAATAACTTTTTTTAAACTAAGTCTCACTTTAACAAATTACTAATTGGAATTCTTAGTTACTAACAGGATCATAAAGTTGAGTTCACAATACTCACTTTTTATTAACTACTTATAAAATTTTTATAATCGGTCTTAATTCAAATCACAGTAATCTATCAAGGGTAATTTTTTGCTAGTCCAGTTTTTTTCAATATCGTTGGCGCAATTTTATTTTGTTATTTTGCTTAAGTACTTATTATGAACAAAATTAACAATCATAATAAAAATAAAAGAAAATATTGCGCCACCGAAATTGAAAAATAACGGACTTGTTGAAAATGACCTACACTCCATTCAGCAAAGCAAAAGATTTTTAGTAAACAATCTTCATATTATGTATATTAAAAATAAAAAAGATGTATTTTTACATTCATTATCCGTTTCATAATATGAAAACATTATGGAGCTACTTTCAAAATTAAGTGTTGTTTTTTGCTATAGTTTCTTGATTGATTGATGCTTCTTTCTTTCTGATTTTTTTTCTGTCTTCTCCACTGTTCCATTTGCTTAATTTTCCCGTCATCATCTAAATTAGCAATTTTTTTTCTTTGTTTACCAACTATTTCTCTTTGTTTCTGTTTATATTTTTCAGGATCCTTCTTTAGCTTTTCTCTGAATCTCCTAGCTCGTTCAGGTAGGTAATATAGAGGTAGCTTTGTTACTTGTAACAATATTCACATTCGTCGTCAAGAAAATGGTCATAAATGGTAAATAATAAACAGGTTTGGCACCAGAAGAATTTACGATTTAAAAGACGAATTATTTGTCTGTCACTAAAAATAACAAAATGAGTCGGTATTCCGAGGTTCGTGTCAGTATAGGTTTTGCAGTTATGGCATTTTGTTGCTAATATGAAGTGTGTTCTTTTCCATGGCCACTTAGTTCTTTTGAGTAGACTGAAATCTTTGCGAGTCAAGAACTTGTCAATGTCCAGAAATACTACCATTTTCAACTCTGTAAAAATGCATTTCTTGCTTATCTGCGTTTGTTATGTCGAAGACCCGGAATGCAATGCAACCCAAAATTTATTTTCGAATGCACAAATCTATAAAATGTCATAAGAAATTGACCAGTGAAAACCCCATCTAAATCGGACCACTACTTTTTAAGACAACTTTATAGAAACTTTCAGGTGCTCTTACTTCTCATCATCAGCTCAGCTCCATAAGATGATGACTATAAGAGACAAATATCTGAATTGCGTTAGAAAGTATATGAAAAATAAATTTTGAAATTCGATCCACAATTTTATTGGTAGAGAAATCGGTGAACATACACAAAAAACATCCGAACATAGTACCTCCTCCTTTTTTGAAGTCGGTAAAAAGAGGTTTCAGCTTGAATATTTCTCGTAAGTACCTATATAGTTACCTTACTTATTTTTAGCACAAGTAGTCAAAAAGTAATTCTAGGAAATACTTAATTTTTATTTTAAGTTAACTGAGTACTCGACCTTATAATTCCAGTTAGTAACAAAATCCATTCCGGCTATATATAACGTTACTCACCTGACGTTACGAAAGTACATTTTATGACTTCACATCACACATTTTATAAAAAATACACTAAAAGTAATGATTGTAATGAACTTTAGTTAATTTTAGATACTTACTGCAAAAGTTTAAGCAACGCTCGTGTTGAAACAATAATAATCTATCATTCAAAATCACTATACTAATTGGAACACGTGATTGACGACACACTGTTCTGGAGACTAAGTAACGCTATTTATCCAAACATAGCTAGGCTGGAAAAAGAAACGGCCAATAGAAGTTAAGCTGTCAGAAAATGATTGTCACATCAAAAAATATCTGAATACTTGGTATTATTTTAAAGTCGACGAAAATCGTAGTTACTAACTGGGAATTCCGGTATATCTAAAATTTTAGGACAAAATAAAATTTTATTTATTTACTGATTTTGATATAACAACCAATTAAAAGACATGAAAAAACGTAATTTCATATTGTTTTACCACAAACCAAGTGATTTTAGTATGAGTATGATGAGAATATTTCGGGATTATGACACTTCAAAGTTTGAAGGTATGCATGGGACATCGTAAAATTGGTGTACAATGTGTTACATTTTTATTTATTTTTTCAAATTAAGATTGTATTTAAAAGAAAAATCTGTTTTAATTTACTTTTGTTGAAATTTTCTATCGATTGCCGCTTTAAGCATGATGTTTTCATTAATAAATTTTAAATAATATAATTGTTAAGTCAGTGGACATTATGTTATGGCAATGGTCAAAAGATTTGAAAAATTCACTTTTTACTTAAGAAATTTACATATTTGTGCATTTTAAGCAAAAATTAATAAAATGCGTCACGATACCTGCTGTGTAGTTGGCCGCAAGAACAATGGCAAAAATAGTGATAATTTTTTCTATAGATTTCCTCGAGTGAGTTGGAAACAAGAACAAAATTACTAAGCTGTAGCTCACCAAATAGGAGTATGAGTACATAGAAAAGTATGTGCTCATGTTCATGATGTAAATTACATATTTTTATAGTTATCAGTTACGTAAAACTGTCATTTTAAAGAATTTTTCATATTAATTTACCTTTTTTTATTGTATCTAAATTATACATTTTGTATGAAATCTAGTTGAATAATCAAATTTTAATGTCAAAGTTATAGGTATATATAATCAAGCAAGATGAAATAGTTTTAAGGACAATTAATTATTATTATTATAAAGTGAATTTCTGTAGCCTTCGAGAAGTAGTGATTATATTTACAATTTGAAATGTTATTGTTAATGTTGTAGATAATTGTGTACTGTAGTATAACTTTTCTATTCCATAATTGATTGTGGCATTTTAGACTGAAAATAAAAAAGATCAACAGTATTAACGACACCTTAGGTTTACATAATCGAATAAAATCTCAGTAAATTACGCTATTTCAATAAAATTATTGTTTGTTTTCTTACTATTCGTACTAAATGACATTTCAATATCCGACATAATTGTAACCGCTAGTTGGCGCTACCATCGTGCACCTAGCGAATAACTGCGTTCACGCTAATGCACACACACTCTTAGCCAACTCTTGTACTAAAAATATCAACTGTCGCAATGTTGATTGATTTGAGGATTTTTTATAACTAATTGTTCTATCAGCAATAAACTGACGATTAAAGTTCCGGGTCCTTTAAAAAACTTCTTAATATACCTAAGTAGGTACTTTCAAAGTATGTGCGGTATTCTGTATTTTTAAGAATAATAAAAAGTCAAAACTACTTGAAAAAGAATTCAGTTTACGCAGTATAAATTTATGCATTTAACTCTTTACTTACTATTTATTTCAAATGGCTATGGTCGTTATTTCTCACGCTATTCCTTTTCTTTCCTATCCACCATTTGAGCCGGCGCTGTTTTTACCTCAAAGTTTTCATTTAAACTTAATCTCTCTTAAGGTTATACGACTCTGGAATAGAGTGCCGAATTAAGCCGGAGAGGGCCCGTAGCAAACCGGGGGGGTCCCCCCAGAAACAAAAAAGTCATCCTTTGCTTTCCGAATTAATCTGTGACTCGAGTTTTATTTGTCAACTAATCTGCAATCTGTGACTCGAGTTTTATAAAAGTATAAAAAATACGTATCTAATATTTTTCGGACGGACTAAATAGAATTTCCTTCTTTTCGCCCAGTCATCCCCATTGTGCGGAGCCTGAAACACGAGGGGCCTGTAGCATTTGCTACTTTTGCTACGTGACTAATTCGGCATTTTAAAATTTCAAACGATTATCATCTGAAAATCTTTGGTCAATCTTTTGAATTCTCCTACCGCTTGTGATGTATTATAGGTATTGAGTATCTATTTATGTTATGTAATTTATTATGATTTATATGTAATGAATGCAATTTTACTTTGACTTTTGGTATTGTATAAATATCGTTATTGACTGATTAGGTTAACCTTTTCCAAGTCTCTGTTTAACAATATGAATTTTGACTAATACTTAGTGCAGTCTCAGCATAAATTCACTCCAACGCTAAGCCTTGTTTATTAATAACACTACGATTTCTAAGATATTGATTAAAAATTTTGTAAAACTAAAGAAAGAGCCTTGATTTACAAATACGGATACATTTATCTACTGTGTGTAATACGGCAGCCGCGGTTTAGTTGTTTAAAAGCAGAATCTAAAATAGAACTTATAGCACTCATCTGTAAAATAATTGATACTTTCGATAAGATAATCCGGGGTTGTTGATTCTTTTGTTGTCTATAAGCTATTTATAGCCGATTCACGGCAACCAACTGTACAGTATACGTTATCTACACAATAAAACATGGACCAGCTGGGCAACAGTTTCGGCCGGCTTTATTTCACATTGAAACATATTATTCCACAGCCGTGCACAATATACTGTAAACAAACGAGACAGAACGTGGGCGTTTGTGTACGCTGGGGATTTGAATAGGTATATCGTGTTTTTTATAACGCGATATTATCGATTTTGTGGTCACGTACCGTTTCAATTTTATATGATAGTAAAATAACACTAAAATTGAAGTTGCAGTGCAAGTATCTGTTACGCTATGTACTGACATCACAGCTTCTATTGGAGGATAGGAGTACTTCTCGGTAGAAGATGTCTTTTAGAGCGCAAACGATACAGCAGTGCTATTTTCTAATAAATCAGCGTCGAACTCGACGTTGAGGACAACCAGCGCTGTTACAACATAGAAATTCCATAAAATAAGATCTAATTTGAAAGGTAAGGTCTTAGGTTCGACGTCAAATTTGAGGCTGATTTAATTAGAAAATAGCATAGTAGTCTCAACTCTAAATAATAATTTGTTATAGTAAACGGGGCCGGTCTACACGGTCCACATAGTCAAATTAGGGCGCTTGTATTTGAGGGCGGCGGCGTGGCATGGCTAACAGATTATTGAAAACGCCGTGTAATAAAAAACATCGACTTTTCTTTCTTTGAACATGATTTCATTTCGGCGATAATCAAATGTACAACATTTTCAGACCAGCAGTACCTAAGGAGTTTCTTATGTCATTGACCAAATTTATGCTCTTTAACCGGTGTACCTTTATAAGTCTTTAGGGTGCGGTACCAGTGTTTTGAATAGGCCGCCAAGTTCCAGTGTTTCGCCAAAGGAGCTAAGAATCATTGAGCTGGCGCTGATGGTGAATGTATACTTAAGAGATTTGTAGATAAATCCGCATCATGGGAGGTAAATTATATCTTGTTGTATTCTGTGATGCGCGCTTTATTATGGGTCTTGATGTGCTATACATAATTAAGGAAGACAGGTGTCATCATATATACCTATTGAAATATAGAGCCCATACGAAGTTTTTTATTTCTTGGATACTTGAGAATTCTCGCGGTGACAATAGATCCAAAAAATGACAAAAGCAGTACCCAACAAGTGAAAAATCAATATTATCTACTTAGGAAAAATAGATCAATTTAATTTTAATTAAACTTAGTGTTTCTCTAGCAAAAATACTGAAAAAACACACAAAACATTACTATAATGAGCATTTACTTGCTTAACAAAAGGTAGATGGTTCTAGTTCAAGTCATTGATATCTACTGCTGGTAAATCTACTGTCTGATACTGTATCCAATTTATAATAAGAATTTTTTTTAAAATAAATGCTGAGACATAGCTTAAGCCACAGAACACGGACGTCTTTATGTGTTCTGTGGCTTGAACTACTGATAAGTACTATTGCAAACCTACCTTGTTTCCATTTTTTTAATTGTAAAAAATAAACTCTTTAGCATATATAGGTATATACACTTAATATAACTTCCGTAGCCAAAGGATTCGCACACCGGTTTCAAGGTATCTTAGTAGTACAGAGTTCGATTTCCGGTCGAATCAATGAAGAAAGTGGACTGAATATAGAAATATTGTCCCTGGTCTGGGTGTTTTGTTACATTCGTTGTCTCAGATACTCCATA